ATTAACAAATTATTTTAGGCCAATGTTCTGACCCAGTGAATATAATTCTTGGAATAATACAGGAGCTGTTATCACCCCCAGACCTAAAATGATAAAGAGAGGGAATTGTTACCAGAATCTGGCATATAGCAAGATGAAAAGGGCAACTAATTGTAACTGTGGTTCTTCATGGAAGAATGTATCCAGTCTACAGTGAGCCACCAGGAGCAAGAGAGTGAACTAAAATCTCGATTTTATTGTCCTCCTTCCCTCTGATCTTTTTCCAGTGTCTCCTGTTAGCTGATCCCAACCAGATAATGGAGGTGAAGACAGCCTGCCCATGCAGTCCTTGGGGCAACTTCCCAGAGTATAAAACAGGACGGGAAAAGAGAGTATAATACAAAGGAGAAAATAGGAGATATCCAGTATAATAAATATCTTCGCAAAATATCCAAAACTGGAACTACCTTTATCTCTGACCTTTTCTACAGCTCCTTTAGGGCATTCTAAATAAGCTCTACTCTTATATTCTTCTTGAACAAACTTCTCTCTATTCATGCTATTATATTGTAGGAAAAAGTAAAGTAGGCAAGATCTTCTTTTAACCCCTACTAGCTAAGGAGAAGACTCTTTCTTTTCAGAGAAATGAATGCAAGCTCTGGATTTGCATGAAGAATTATTTAGCCTCCTTCACTCCCTAATTCAAAAAGATCTGCCAACATTTCTCAGCAATAGGTTGATTATGAAGTCATCATCAGTCTTAGAATAAAACAAAATGAAAGAGATGTTTTTCACATTTGTCATAGGAGATTCTCTGACTTTACTTTCTGGTCCACCAATGTCCCTGAAGAATCTAGAAGGAAATATGGGGTTTGTTGAACCAAATCAATAATTCATGTCAACATCAAAGCTTCTTAGATCTAAATGTATAATGCAAAAAAATGAGAAAAATCAATATGCACTGTAGTCATCAAAAACTACACACAGGCCCCTTATCCCTGCATGTTACATTAATACCATGACAAACTATGAACATTTATGGTACACTAATAAGAAGGAAACGATGTTCTCTTTTATAAAGWGTGGCCAAGTGGTAGAGTGACATATTACTAGTATCCTGGAGTATCTATAACAAAACACTTTATTTCCAAGCTCAGAAGACCGATCTGCTGAGAAAAATCCGTTGTTACATTGCCTAAAACATAACCAAACCAAGACTGGTGTCATTGACTTTTCTTACTACATAGGAGATCTCTCCCATCTCATAGACAACCTGTCTGCTATCCCTTCCATTTCTAAATCCATTAATTCTATGATTTATTAGGGTTCTTTAAAAAGTTCCAAGTTTCTTGGAAACTTGGAGCTACTTCTTTTAACCTAAAATGAGTTTTGCATGAGGAATATACTACTCTAAATATGCAGGAGAATTCAAAAAAGTAAATTTTGTTTTAAAAAGGGGACGGAAAGAATGGAGGAATAATATAAATATGGAAACAATTATTAAAATAAGAAACAAAAATGATAAGAAAGTAAATGAATGATAGATCTTCCTAGGAAAGGTAGGAAAAAGGAGAGTTACATCATGGATCATTTTCATAGGTAAGAGTATTGCCTAAGCTCCCTGAGAAATCAGAGTGCTACAAATATGTCACTTTTATTTCCCAACATATGAAAGAGAAACCATTCTTAATCAAACCTAGGATTTCCCAAGCTACACATATAGATACTGTTCACACCTTCAGCATTTGAGAAAATGAAATAAATAAAAAACTCTGGGCTGGGGATGTGGCTCAAGCAGTAGCGCACTCGCCTGGCATGCGTGGGGCGCTGGGTTCATTCCTCAGCACCACATAAAAATAAAATAAAGATGTTGTGTCCACCGAAAACTAAAAAATAAATGTTAAAAAATTCTCTCTCTCTCCCTCTCTCTCTCTCTCTCGAAAAAAAAAAAAAAAAAAAAAAACTCTTTAGCTCACCAGTAATTTTCACAAAGGTACCTTGGCCTGAAAGTTTGCTCCAAGTGAGGCATAAATGGACTCCAGGAAGATGGTAACAAAGAGATTTTTTAAAAAGAAATCTTGGGGCTGGGGATGTGGCTCAAGTGATAGCTCGCTCACCTGGCATGCGTGCGGCTCGGGTTCGATCCTCAGCACCACATACAAACAAAGATGTTGTGTCCGCTGAAAACTAAAAAATAAATATTAAAAAAATTCCCCCCCCCTCTCTCCCTCTCTTTAAAAAAAAATCAGTCCTAATATGGGCTGAGAAAAAAACTATTTAAAAAAAAGAAATCTTTATAGAGAAGTCCTTTCAATAGGAAAAACTTTTTTGCTTCCTGACAGTAATTCCCCATAGGAGATTAATATGCTTTGACCTATCAAGTATCTATTACATAGAGCACAAAAGACTGAACCTTGTGGTTATGATGACAACCACAAGCTTACAAAAAAATTAGTTTCTCCTAGTGAATTTGTATGCTGTAGACTGTCATAGTCTGCCCTTTGTCATGACTGTGTGAAAGCTCAGAACTCACTTTTGAGCTCAATTGTCTCAACTTTCCAGTTCTTCATACTTTTCTATGGTCTTCCCTGTACCGGATCTTCATCTCCTTCATTCCTTGATTCCATTCTTCTTGTTGTTATCTGTTTTGTTGTGGTTGGTTTGGTTTGGTTTGTTTGCTTTTACCTTATAGCACCTACACATTTATTGCAGGTCACTTCGAATATTTTTGGAAAAAGTAAGTCAATACTGATCAATGATTATAAAATATTTCCTGATTTTAAAGAGCTCACAATCTAATAAAAATAGAAGGTTGGGAAACATTATTGAAATATTACTATGCAGTCTATAGACACTGTAAAGGGAAGCCCAAAATAAATATAGTTTTATGAAGAGTGAAGTCACATTCAGATAAGTGACCACTTTGAGAGAAAATATTAAATGAGATGAGCTTTGAATGACATGAGTCAACATCTGAGGATGTGAAGTTAGGAAGAAGAAAGCTCAAGACATGTTTAGAACACATTACCTCCAGATAACATTTGGCAGAAATGTAAGAAAACGTAGGAGATAATGCTGCAAAGACATTGGAACCAGCAGGTGAAGGATGATTGAAAATTTTAAAGCAACTGTGAGTCTGCAAAATGTTTCTGAGCAGAAAATTATAAAATTGACGTGATTAATAAAAGGTCAGAAAACTACATATAAGCAATGCCTTCCAGGGTACCTGAAGAGGAGGCACCTGACTACCATATCTCTACAAAGACCTATATAGATCATGGACACAATTTCTTAAAGGAGAGACAAAATAAGGGAGGCAGCCCAATTATACCTCCAGAAAAATGCAAGTCCAACCTCAGCATGAGCTGCTTTCTGTCTACCGTGCCCCATCAGCAATCAAGAGATGCAGCTGGAGATTCTAGTGGAGACTGACACTCTCTGGCCCTGAGATGAGGGTGGMACAAGCAGTCTCCAGGCCCTTTCCTTTGTTCCTTGGAATATCCCAAGTTAGTGAAAAAAATCTGGGTCTCTCACTCTTGTCTGTCTCTTCAGTATCCGGCTGCCACTGCAGGGCAGAATCATCTCTGATGTCACAACAGATGAATCAGGCTTTGGCATCATCTCACAACACTCTGAGAAGTTGGTGATGATGGATAGGGATAGGACGATGCATTCCAAAGGATGCTACCGTGATGTAAGATTAATACTTGTAGGGTTCCAGAAAAGTCAGTCTTTGAAATCATCAACGAATCAAAGGCTTTCCAACACTCCTGACATTGTTACAATCTGTATTACCCAGTTCTAATACCAGTGACTGTGACCAGCTATATCTGTATAGCAGTTGAATGCCGCCTTCTATTTAAAAAGAAATGAGTGGGGAGGAGGGAGGGAAGGAGGAAGGGAAAGAAAGAAAGCATTCACCTCCCGCTAGCATTTTCCCGGATTCTGTGCTTTTGCTGCATCGTTTGCCATTCCGGGCTCTTGTCTATTCCCTATGGTCTGTGACATTTGCAGAGACTCACGTGGAGTGGCCAACCTCAGCTGCTCAGGGCGATGACGCCTAGGAACTTCCCATGGACCAGGACGTTGCAAGCTCTGACACGCAAGGGAAGGGGGAGCGAGCTGGCTGTTAGGAGGGCCCKGGGCAGCTCAGGCTGAGTGGGGTTCATCTCAAGGGCTGGATCGGTGTCAGCCTTTTCCTCCCTTCAACCCTGTACTGGCGCCTCTCCAACCCAGAGGCTGGCTGATAGATATCTTCTTGGGCGCTCTCTGAGTCACTTGGCTGCGCTTAGGCTCTTTCCTGGATGTCTTTGCGAGTACAAATCCAAGCCCGCCGTCCCGCTGCTTCTCCTGTTCCTAAAACCAGTGCCGAACTCCCGCCGGAGGTGACCAAAATTGTGCTGCTTTGCTAGAGCAAAGTGCCTAAGACGCAGGGAATCCGAAAGCTTGCGCCGCCTCTGGGAGAGCTGCGCGCTGGACAGCATCTTGGCGATCTCAGGGCTTCGAACCCTGCTGTGTGGTCTGACCTCACTACTTGTGTGGTATCCACACTCTGGCCGGCCCAAGAATGGAGCTGTGAAGGTGGCTGGGCACTGGAACTTGGTTTCAAAAATTTCTGACGAAGAATATGATCGAAGAGACCCGAGCCCATAAGGCATTCCCAGTCGCCAACTATAAGCGCCTTTTCCCAAAATTGATAAAGAGTTTTTGAAGAGGAGACCCATTATACCTTTCCCCCCATTATTTCAGCCTCCCTCCCATAGTTCCTGCCCCTAAGATTCTGGTCAGGATTCCACATTTAATGCCTTCAGGTAGAAGCACTATCCCAGGCTGAGGCTGCACCCACTCTCCAAAGCATTCCCCCAAGAAAGCACTTGAGTTTCCCAGTAGCCAAGAAAGAGGAAAACCAGTAATTGAAACTGGCCAAAGGAAATGCTCAGAGGTGTACAGGATTTGTGGACATTGGTATCAAGTCCTTAGAGTGGCTGCTGGTTTCAGAAAGTCTTTTTCCCAAAGAGAAAATGTCAGTCATAAAAACCATCCTGTAAGACAAAGATGAGTGTATCAATTTCTTAAAGAACATTCAAGCAAACATCAAGTTAAAAGGAGTAAGGTGAGGGAAATTCCTGATGATTTTACTAATGTTAAAATTCCATAGATTTGGCTAGTACTTTTATTTCACATCATCAATTCAGAATTCTATAAAGGAACAGAATGACATCAAAGAAAATCATTGGCCTAGGAGAAAAGAGCCCGTAGGCGTTTAGGTGTTATATATGTGGAGCCAGAAAGCTCTGGAGCATCAGGGAGACTCCAACTTAAGGCAACAGCATGGGTGAATATGGGCTTCACGTGGACGGGGAAAGAGAGGGGAAGACTAGTGACTGAGCACTGGCCCCTAAGTCAGGCCTTGCAGATCTAAGGCAGTTCAGTCTTGATTGGGAGAGTTCAGTGTGATACTGGGGTGGAATTGGGTCTTCAAGTACATTTCCTGATGTATTATTGTTTGTTCTACCAGCTTTTTTTAGGAAAATCTTCATCTTGCATTTGGTAGGGCTGGTGCTAACTTACAACTTCACTAACTGTGACTACGAGAAGATCAGACAGGCATATACGCATATCATTTTCTGTGACCTGAAGGAATATATGAATGGGGTAAGTGAAAAAATAATTTTTAAACAAATATATTCTTATCAGAAGGGTAAGTATACATACATGAAAACTACAACTTAACTTTCAAAGAAAGAAAAATGCTTTAAAAATTATTTCATCAAAATTTTTTTGTGAGTGATTTTCAAATATATTGGCATCTAAAATGACTATCTATAAATTAGTGTGTTCTAAGTGTGCAGAGGCTGATGAAGAACAGATACTGATAGATAGGTAACATTATGCATCACAAATGCCTTCTGCAGAAGTGCTGCTCTGATTTGCAGTAAAAAAAAAAAAAAAAAAAAAAAAGACAATGGATAAGGGCTTGAGAAAGAAGAGTAAAAGAGAGGAAATTCTTGAGATAAGCCTAAGGAGTGAGAATACCAAGGCATTAAGCTGTGCATCAGGGCTTTCTAGTGTTCTAGATGTTTCAGGATCTTATTATGGGACATGATGCACTTTGGGTTTTTTAAGTGTCTGGTAGGAATCATTTTCTTGATAACCCAAGTTTCTGGATAGAGTGCATGTATAAAATACAGGAATGACTACAGGGCAGATGTGGACATCCTAAGAATGATGTTATCATTCAAGCAGATAGTGCTGAGTGCAGATGTGTCTGCTTTGGTGTGTGTTTGGTGGGGGAGGTATCTCGGAACCTCTGATTCCAGGACCCTTTGATGTCCCTTTTCAAACACTGACAAGTAGCATCTGAAGACTCAATGTTTGATTGTTTTGTCAATGATATGACAAGCAAGTACCAGACAGAAACTTCTTCCAGAGTACCTTTAAAGCCTGGCAACAAGGGACTGGAAAATGATTTTTCCTTTGGGCTTAAAGTTTTGCCCTCTTCTTATTTTTCTTCTCTTTCTTCCAGACCAAAAGTACCAGCTTCGAAAAAATCGARTCCTGTTACAACCCAGTGAGTAGAACCATCAGTGCTTCTGGCTTTCTCCCAGAAAGACGCCAGGCGTTCCAGGGAGGGAGTATCTTGCGGAGTGCAGATCCCCGGGCAGTGGCGGAGCTCCACAGTTAGTCCGCCGGCCAGTAGGGGACAATTTGGGCTATCAAAGGGAGGCTGCGCCCAGCATGGGAATCCACTTCGGTGCCAATTCAGGGAGAGGAAGTTTCTTTCCGAGCGAGCGAGCGGGATTCCGGGAGAGAGTGCTCCTTTTCTCACTGGGAGAAAAAGCACATTGGAAACTGGGACCGGGAATGAAGTTAGCGACACCTCTGCCTGAGGTCCTGGCGCTTCTGCTCTCAAGTGCTCTTGGCAGCGAACTCTAGGGGAAAGGGGCGGAGTGAACGTGGGTGACCTTTCCTTCTACTCCAGCGCCTTTTGCTGCGCTCTCAAAGTCCCTCCTTCCTGTGGGGTGGTCCCCTTTCCCTCTCCTCCACCACGACCTCTTCCTTCTTATTCAAGACATCTTTGTTGTGTCTTCCGTTCCTCCCCCACCTTCCTCGCAGCCCCTTTCATTCAATTTATACTAACTCTCCCCCCTCCTTTTTTTTTTTTTTTTCCTTCTTCTTTCTTTCTGGTGTTTTCTCCCTTGTTCCTAACGTCGCGGCCGGTGAGCAGTCAGATTGTCTCATTAAAATCGAGCACCATACCTTCAATCCCACCAGTGACTGCCTGTCACTCTCCGAGTCCTCCTTCGCCTTGAAAACGAATGCTACCCTCGTTCTCCATTGCTCAGGCTACTCAGGAATTCAGGTAAGCGTTAGGCATGGGGCACTAGCCTTTTTAATACCTGGGGACTAACTTTAATTCAACCGGGGCGTTAGTGATTTTCATTCAGGTTTTATCTTTTGAAGAGCAAAGAAGTCAGGTAAAAGTTGTGGGTTGTCAATTAATCTCACACTGACTGACTGGGTTGAATTATGGTTCTAAGCTGTTCCTGGGTGGTTTCAAGGTGTGATCAGTGAGCCTCCTACATCAGAATGTCCTGGCTGCTGTTCAAAATGTCAATTCTCAGCGACACAATCCAGACCTTTAAAAATCAAAATTTCAGCCTTATGCCAGGCTCCTTAAGGAAATTCTTGTCCATTTCAAAGTTCAGCAACCCTGCTTGGATTTATAACTTAGCAATTGTATGCTTCTTTCTTAAAATGTTACATTATATATTAAATCTCTACCCTATGTTTTGCTTGATTGCTTGCTTGAGTGGGACTGCAGTCTCTTTAACATAATAAATTTTTGCAATACAGTCACATGCATTTGAATGAATGTGTAATTTTAAAGATGGAGACATTATAGTGGAGAGTTAGGAGTAGGAACTCTGGAGTCAGCCTGCCCGACTTTGAATCCTAGCCCTTTAACTTAGCTTTTAACTGAAGATCTGGACAAGTTTTTAGCRTCTATGTGCCTCAGCAAAATAAGTAATCTGTTCTTAAGTCCTACATAGGCTGTCTGTAAGAACTAAATGAGTCACCATATATAAAAGCACTTGGAAAGATGCCTGGTACGTAACAGGTACTCAAAAAATATTTCAGTTGGTGAATAAAGTAGAAAATTTATATTCTTGAGATAATTTTAAGAAAGACAAAGATAGACAATGTAGATATGCATGATTGATGTTGATTAACCCAGTAGACTTAACAAATCTGCTATCCAAATGTCTAAGTAGCCAAGACTGTCATTTTTTTATGTCTCAAGGATTGAATCATAGGTTTCAACCAAGCTAGGAGTTGAAACCACCTGTATTGAGCTTAAGTGAAAAACTCAAGACCAAGCAGTCATATGAGAAATCTGTTTGGCTCYATGTCTTCCTTCAAAGGGAACTCTGACAAGCCTACAAGTCTACAGATGGTCACAATAAAATTCACTCATATAAGAAGAGCACAAAGGACAGACTTGATCAAGTTCTTGAACAGAATATTTTTGAAAAAGGGAGAGTCTGGAGAAAATTATTTCACCCCCACCCTAGCTCAAACAGAAAGTCTGAGACCAATAATAATTAATTAGGATTTAGCAGAATTAGACTGTAAGATTCTTGCTTGGTAACCCAGGATTCTCTATCAATCTGTGTGTGCCCAGGAAGGAGGCTCAGCCTGTCATTACTCAAGGGTTAAGAAATGCACCAAAATCTTGTGCAGAATAAGTCTTCAGGGTGTCTGTGGCACATGTAAGGAGTGGTAGGGATGGGGAGCAGGAATAATTTGGTTTCAAATAATAGACTAGTTTTCCTGAATTCTAGTAAGACACAGAAGATAAGTCCTATCCTTTGAGAATTTGTGCTCTTGTCAGAGAGATCATGACATCATCAATTTATTTATTCACTTAATCATGCAAAAAGTATCCAGTGTTTCCTATGTATAAGTCACTGTACTCAGTGCTGTGGGGAAATACCAATGATGCAACCATAAGAAGAGTAGGTGAAAGCCAAGTGAAATGACACATACTCTTAAGCATTAGAAGTTTCAAAAAGAAAGATCTGAGCAATTTGCAGAGGTTTTGTGGAGGAGGTGCCGCTTGGTCTTTTAGCAAGATTATGTGGGTGGAGAGAGAGAGAAGGGCTTTCCTCTGCAGAAAGCGCTCACACACTCAAGCAGTTGAGAGGTGGATTTTCTGGGAGAAGATGACATAATCTGCCACTCAAAAGTTGTTAAAGATAGTGAAAATTAATTTTTTTTTTTACTATTGATTCTCCTATTCAACAGAAAAACAATACCCAGGAAATGAAACAAGAAGGAGTCAACAGTAACTGCCTCAACCAAACCTCACAAATACTAGGATGGTGGCGTCGTTTCTCTCGACTTTTAGGAAAACAAAACTATTTTAATTCCTGTCCTAATTTATAGCACCAAAAGAAATAATTTTTATTAAATATATAAAATGTTAACTCTGTGACATTTAAAAGAGCACTAATAGTTATTCTTTAACTACAGAAAGGTTTCTTAACTTATTTTGGGGTCAGTCTGTATTGTTTAATGTGGGTTATTTAATGTGGGAAGTATTGATCCTCTAATGTCAGGGGACACTTCTGTAACATTGGTGACTGGCTTCATGGCACTAATTCTCATCTGAAACTGTACAAGCCCTCCACGGGRGGGAAACAAATAAGTATAGTAGAAAGAAACTTAAAAAAGAAAAGTGTTGGATTCAATGACAGCATCTAACCCTCTGTTTTAAAAACAGGCATTTATTTTACATGTTATGATTCTTTTCCTGTTCTCATACTAAAACTCTATAGAAGAAGAAAAGCAAAGCAAATGAGAATGTACAAATCATGGAAAGTATAACGAAGCAATTTGAAAGAAGTTTCAAGCGAAGTGTTATGAAAGTATTCTAAGCCAAGTTTTAAAAATTATCTAACAGACCAGAGTAGGATATGCAAGTAGATTCTGAAGACGTACCTTTGTTACAGCTATTATATATATAATAAATCTTAAATTTTATATAATGTATTTTTAATTTATTTTGTGAGCACTTTTGAAAATGTACATGTTGCTTTATAACTGACATTACATGTTTCTTAATAAAATAATTTTTGAATTAATTTTGTCTGAATATTCTTTTAAATTTAGTTACAGGCCAATTTTCACACAGTTTTCTAAGAGACACCACTTTTCTTCAGGTCTTTACCTCCCCTCATGCTGAGACCCTATTGATCACACACCCCTTTGTGCTATGCCTGTTGGTCCTGCTTATAAGAGAAAATATCTATAGAGAGGTACCTAAAAGTATTTAGAGACAGATGATTTTCCTCAGTTGTGTCATTAATCCTTCCTTCTTTCTCTTGTTGAGCTTTTCTCACACCTGGAAGAGACAAAACAAGAAAAAGTTAACTGAAGATGATAAGTTCATTCTTGAATACCTGATGCAAGCTGGGCCATAGACACCCCTTCATTCATCCTCAACTCAGAATCTTCCAACACTGATTGGAGATAAAACCGTAGCCATAGAGTCTAGGCATAATAGAGCACATGGGAATACACTGACTTTTTTCTTTTGAGTAGAAATGTTCCCCTGAGCACTGCCCTAGTGTTGGGGCTAAGCCACAATAGAAGAGGGGAAGTTCAATGTCCCTAAATACATCTTTCCCACCAACAAGTTAAGAGGAAGCTCATATTATGTATCCAATCAGCATTTAAGGACACTTGCTGAGGGTCAAGGTTTCAGCTGAATACTCAGAATATGGAAGGAAATAAAACACAGTCTTTGCTAGAGAAACTCGAAATGTAGATGAATAGGCAGTTTTCTTCTCTCAGAGGAAAATCGGGACATGCTCATTTCCCAAAAATCTTCCTCCAAATTAGCCTTGGACCAGGACCTTAACTGCCATCAGAAAAGAAACTCCTTAGAGTAATCTTTAATTTTCTGGGCAAAAGGTTGAGAGAGGGATGGCACTTTAAATCTATGAACTCCATCTTAGTAGGGATTCATTGACTCCAATTTTTTTTTAAATGTGAAAAACATTACTGTCACAAATTTTCTCTAATTTTGGGCCTAATACCTCTAAAAGAAGAGAAGAAAGAAAGATTGAGGAGAAAGAAGATTATTCAAAGTCATTCCATTAAATGCAATTTCTTTGTGTCTTCTGCTTTCTCTTTAAAACTTTTGGTAATTTATGTATTTTATTCTGTTATGTATTCCATAGGTATTTTAAAATAAAAACAATCATTTGAATTGCTTATATCATTATGTAAATATCATGTAAAATACCATATACCATATTAATCTAGTAAGAACTTTCACAAATGTTGCAAAAATATGGATAATACATTCCTATTTTTTGAAATATATTAAGGTCTTCAAGGTAGAAGAGTATATAGTCAATGTTATCAGTGTTCTATGGTCATGAAAAGAAAACTGCACATTCTGGAATAACTATAAGTTACACACAGTTGAATATATACCTATTGGGACTGACTTATTAAATATGCTGTTTACATAATTTATGTCTGTACTTTTTTGTCTACTCCACTCAGAGGCTGAGAGAGCTGTGTTAAAGTCTCCTCCTGCCATTATTGTTTCTTATTTACTCATGTCCCTAAAGTTTTGCTTTTTAATTGAGACCACTTTTTATTTCATTCCTGAAAATCCACAAGAGCTGTTTATTGAAAATTGTACTCTCTACCACATAATATTTCCACATTTTGGTGTTTCTGGATCCCTTTGTTATAGATGTCTCTTGTATTAAAAAAAAATCTAGTATGTCTGTGGTGGAGGAAGAGGTTGGGAGGAGAAGGAAGGAGGAAATCCAAATTGAGACATATTTACTTTAGCACTGTCATTGTATTGATATGTCTTCTGTTTTCATATATCTGTACTATTGGCATAATTTTGACCTACAAACAAGTCTTTACACTGAACATTTCTTATGAATTTTGTGCTATCRTTTCTGCATATTGGGATTCTGAGAATTGAACGTTGATTCTATTATTTATCATATAACTCTCTCCTAGTTGTCTATAGCTTAATTCAAGTTATTGAAAAAAAAAATTGATCAAGACCCAACTCTGCTCACTTCAAAGGAGGTAACTTCATGGGTTGTTAAAGCATTTGTCCTTGCTCTTTGTTTTAAAGTTTTTCTTGAACTTTGCAGAACCCAATTTCCATTTCTTCATTATATCCATATAAAAATAAAGGTCAAGAAAAATTTGTCAAATTATTTCCTGATGTCAAAACATACTAAGCCCATGTTATCCCCCAAATCTATAAATCAAGTGAACTTACCCTCAAAACAAATGTTTATATATCAGTTGTATTCCTCTCTAAATCTTACAAACCAACTCTGAGAATTATACCAGAGAATGACATCAAGTTGATCTGGGTCTTTTTGTGTTTCTTCCTTTCCATTATTCAAAAGTACTAACTTTTCTCACGTTTTATTTCTAGCTATAGTTTTAAGAATATTTTCTGGCTAGTGTTGCAATTTCTAAATACAGCTGTGCTTTTTGACATCCAGTATTTATAGTATATCAATTAAAATGTTTCATTTATTATTATGTCTAACACAATAGTTTATATATGAGGATAATAAATGCTAATTAGCTTCCTTGAATATCAGGTTCTTCGTGGGCTGTTAAAGAATTTGTCCTTGCTGTTTGTTTTAAAAATTTCCTTGAACTTTGCAGAACCCAATTTCCATTTCCACCTCTAAAATAAAGATGAGGCTTATGGCATTGTAAGTGTTATTATGAGAATAAAATACATAATAAATATAAAACCTCTGGAAAATGGGCAAGAAAAATATTTTAAATTTACCTACTTGAATGTTCATTTCATTATAAAGTTGAAAGATGGGAACTGCACATTAGTCAGCTTTCTGTCACTGAGATAACCTACTTAAAGAGGAAAGACTGATTTTTGTCTCATAGTTTCAGATGTTTCAGTCCATAGTGATTGGCATGTTGCTTTTGGGCTGTGGTGAGGCAGAGCATCATGGTGGGAGCATGTGGCCAAGCAAAGCTGTTCATCTCATGGTGRGTGAGAAAGTGAAGAGAGAAGAAGGGCGGGGATCCCACTATTTCCTTAAAGAACACCCTATGACCTAACTGCCTTCTATTAGGCTCTTCCTTCTAAAAGTTCCAACACCTCCCAATAGCCCCACACTCCAGACCTTGGGTAACACTTATCCAAACTATAACAGACTGTTACAGAGCCTCGAAAAACTCTTCTTACTTTTTGGTTTAGGATTGCTTTGCAGCAATGGAAAAAATGGTTGAAATATTTAAGCACACAATTATTGACAGTTTTTCAATTTTGAACTCTACCAAATTGGACAGAGTAGCAAAAGAGAGAGGTGCACAGAGAAAGAAAACTGGGAATCTGTAGAGGGCATCTCATGAGGGTTTATTCAGCTGAGTACTTCTCAGAACACACACAGGAGAAAAATACCCAAGAAAGAGGAAACACACACACACACACACACACACACACACACACACACACACATCAAAACTATTAGAGGGAATGCTGCCCATTGCTCACTCAAGGGCAGGAAGATTGTCTATTCCCTTTTTTTCCTCACTAGGCATCAGGTAGGGCACTCTTAGAAGAGTCTTACCTCAGTAATGGAGAATAATTAATCCAAGACTAATTGCTGCAATGATCCCACCCAACAAATCTTAAAGGCAAGACTTGAAAGGATCAGTTTCCAAGTCACTTAGCTGCATTCCACAACAAATCTCAAGAATATTTGTAGAAATAAAAAATAATTAGGACACAACAAGGAAAAGTGCACAATGTGATGTACAATGAAAAGTTATCAGATATGAAACCAGTAGGAAAATATATCCCATGATGGGGGAGAAAATGACACTGACTTATAGCTAACACGTGTCAGAATTAACAGGTGAGGACGTTAAAATGATTAACAACCGTATTCAAGAGGTTAGAGACATACAAGATATTAAGAAGATTCAAATCTAACTTCTAGAAATGAAATATACGGTGGATGATATTAATGGGAGATTAGATATTTTAAAATATTAGTAAAATAGAAGATATGCCAGGAAAAACTGTCCTTAATAAAACAGAGGGGGAAATAAATTACACAGGACTGTGAAACAAGCAAGTGCCTGATATATGTAAAATAAAAGTACCTTAGGGAATGAAGTAGAGAGGTGCAGGAAAAATGTAGAAACAAACAATAACTTCAGGTTTCCAAATTTGATGAAAGCTCCAAACTCACAGTTCCAAGAAGCTCAATAGAACAAAAGAAATAAAGGAAACTTCAGTAATGCTTATTATATTCTAATTGCTCATAATGAGAAACCTTAAATGCAGCCAATGGGTTATGARTGCCTTTGTGATATCCTTTTCAGGATATCCTCTCCAAGGCACTTTGGTGTTTTTTCTTTGACTCTTTCCCCTATACCATTTATACATTCTTTCATGATAATAGCATTATATCATATATTAAACAATTGAATTTAACATCCGACAGCTTTGCTGACTAATTTCTACCTGTGACCTTGCAAGTAGTATGGTTGCAAGAATATTTGTTTATATTTTCTGCCATTACTGAAATAAAGGTAAAAGGT